ACATATATATATATATTTATATTTATTTATTCTTATATAATTCTGTGGTATATGCATTCATATATAGTTTTGTTTATTTTTTATTAATTGGTATATTTATATTGATTTTTATCTATAATTACTTTATTAAATTTATATTATAATCTCATAGTTGATTATAATTATAAGCAGTGTTTTTTTTTTTTATTGTAATGTAATGCATTGGAACGGTGTTCCAGCACCTTTTTACGATATTTGTAATATTTCAAAAGCGAATAAAAAATATTCAAGAAAGAATAAGAATAAATAAAAAAAAAATAAAAAAGAAATTATTTTTAATTTTGTACCAGTTCCGCAGCACAAGGAAAACAGCTGTTTTTTTTAAATTTCATTTAATTAATATTTAAATAAAAAGCTTGACGAGAAGTGAGTTTAGGTACCTTTATTTTTATAAGAAAAGCATTGGTTATAAATATAAATATCGAGATTTCGTAGAGACAATTCGATAAAATCGTATTTCAATCGTTTACCTGCTCGATAGATGTGTTCTAACCAATACACCCAATCGATCGACACAAATCGATCGAATTTAATAAAACGAAACATGGCTTCCAGACAAAAATTATTCATAAAATCGTCCTTGGCACGATTTATGGCTTAAAATGTATCGTATTATTTTTTTATCCTATATTGGTAAGCATTATAATATAAAATAATTTTGGTTGTCATCTTAACCACAATAACCGATCATTCATGTTTCAGTCATGGTGATGATCGGTAAGCTCGACTGCGAACGAGTTCAAAAACCTTCACTCGAATCGGTAACATTAATATTAACAAATAATATCTTTGTATATAGAATTGTTTATTTATATTTCATGAAAATTGTGTGTGTGTGTGTGTGTATAAGAATCATAGGGAAGTTCGATTAGTTGAAAATGGTCCATCTTGTCATTCGAAAAATTCGAAAAAAACAATCGAAAAAGCTAGCAACATTGCTCAAAAAGCTGCAGAGGAGGCCAAAGCTGCATCAGAAGCTCAGAATATTGCTGGTCAGCAAGCAGCACATCAAGTACTTAATGTTATTAATTTATATTTTAATAAAACGTTTTTGCTATTCCTTTTCGATTATGTAGAATAAGCTTCTGTATAATTTAAAGAAAAAAAAATTCGATCTTATTTGTATATTTGTAATATTCATTTGACGAGGATACAAAAATATTATGAAGATTAAAATTTAGGTGAAAGCACAATTGGCGGAGAAGGCGTTACAAGCTGCGAGAGCTGCTGAAGCAGCATTATCGGGAAAAGAAGCGATGGTTCAACAATTGCAAGAAGAAGTTAAGGAATCACAAACGGTCGTTCAAGAAGAAATGGCATCCTTGCAGCAAGCGAAATCTAACGTTAACGCTGCAGTCGAGGCTGCAAGAGAATCACAAGAGCAGGTATAAATATTTCACAAGAATATAATTTTTTGTATAATCTTTTAGACAAAAACTTTGAAAGAACAAAAGGGAACGAAAAGAAGACAATTATAAATTAAACACACAAAAAAAATAATGTTTAAATAAAAGATTAGAAAAATTAAAAAAAAAACACACACACAAAGAACCAACGAGATAAAATCAACAATTTCGAAGAAAAAAACCCAGAAAATTAAAAGAAGAAAATGAATACAGGATCTCGTGATACAAAAATTGAACTTTGTATAATTTAAAACAACGAGCTTGTTTTAATTAAATCTGTTATAATATCTGGTAAATATTGCAAAAGGAAAAATACGATATAAATATAAATTAGATCGCGTTCGTAAAGTTTGTGCCGATTTTTTAATGAAAAATACGAAAAGACAATTTGAAAATTTCGATAAATGAGTACATTAAAAATAAATATCAAGCATATACTTATAAATTGACATGAACTTTACGGACAAGTAAATCAATTGATATAAATGTGGTGTACATTTAAGGTGTGTAATAAGAATTTAAGGCAGAAAAAATTTACAACTTCCTACGCAATATCTCTTTGGTAATATAACTACGTAGCTCAAGGCTATGGTTGATCTCTTTTAATATTGTAGTCATACTTTTTCCATTCGCTAGTTTACTTACGTACATAAGTACATATATATATATATACATACGTAGAAAAGGGAAACGATTAAAGAAGATAACTAGGTCTTCCCAGGATCGATATATCCTCGTTTTGTATGAATTAAAAGAAGTCAAGGATATTTCTATCTCATATTTTCCCCTTCTCTATATTCTTTTTATTTTTTTTTTTTATTTTATTTTTATTTTTCGAATGAATATCGACAAGCCAAGTTATTGCAAATTTCATTCTAAAGTATTCTTTTTTTTTTAATAATATTGTTAACTATAGTATTCTATAATATAAAGCATTATTTATGTCAGCTATCAATTATATTTGAAGTAACTTTACTCTTTCTTTCTTTCTTTCTTTCTCTCTCTCTCTCTCTCTTTCTCTATCTTATTTGTATTATGCTGTCTCTCTCCTATCTCTTTGTTTCTCTCTTATTCTCTATTTTTCTTCATTATTCTATTTCTACCTTTTTCTATTATTTTTTTTCCCCGTTTTTATTAGCCTGTCTCTCTGTTTTTTTTTTTTTTCTAATACTATATCTATCTCTTTCTCTTCCTTGTATTCACTCACACTACTTCTTTCGTATGTTAACCGACTACGCCCTTTCCCTCCTTTGCATCCGTTTAATGATTATCTGAGTTCTAGTTAAACAACAAAAAATATCAATGTGTAAATGCATATATAAATTCTGTTAACAAGCAATCAAAATAATTGTGGCTTAACATTTAGAACTTCCAACCTTCTTTTTCCATTACATTTGTAACAAATCAATATTTATTTATTTTTTTATATTGATTTAATTTTATAATAAGAAAAAAACAATTGTAAAAACAGATTTAATATCTATTTTACTAATAATAATCATTTGAAGACTTATTTCAAATATTTCTATTTAATCATCTTGGAATCATTTAAACTAATATTTTCTCAAGTTAATTAAATATAATAAAAATTTATTTAAATTGCATCATAGTTAACGATTGACAAAGATAGATCGATCAGATTCAAGAGATCGTAGTGTGCATTCTAAAAATATACAACTTGTTCAATTCACGTCACTATACCAAGTCACCAACGCTTTCTAATCTTTTTCAAATACTTTTCTTGTCGTCAGTACTATTTCTTTTACTTTTTAGTCACGATCCCTTGAGAAAACTTGATGTTAGTTTCAGAAGAAATTCTTTATTAATTTTAATTATTTCTTTTATCTAATTATTTATCTATCAAATAGAGAACGGGAATTGTATATTTCATGCAGCATTTCTCGTTTCTATCAATTATCAAATACCTATGTACAACTCGATAGTTTCTGCTTGTTAAAAATACTCAAATTCCTGCCAAAAGATCAATAAAAAAAAGAACAAAAATATTTAAAAATTATATAATTTATTTATATTGAATACTTACTGAAGATGTTACCATTGGTTATAGGGCAACTCGATATAAAGTTTGTCATTATACTGATATTATTTATTTAAATATAACATATATTTATCTATATACATTATATATTAACATTTACAAATAATTTATCGACCCCAAGGCAACAATATTATTATAATAAATGATTTTTATTATACTGGACTCTCTAAACTCTTCAACTTATCAACGTATATCTTTGTACTCTCCCTTTTTTACAGGTTCGATTTAATTCTTTACAAATACTTTCTCTAACACATCATTTTAATTATACTAATATTATTTATTTACATATCCAAACCAATTATCATTCTTACCTCATTATTATATTTGTGTAGATATAAAAATTATATATTTAAACAAAATCCTAACATATTTTTAATTAACCGTTTGATAATTTTCAACGCGAAATATGAAATCACTAATCCCACTTCGTAATCCTCGAACGGTTAATCAGCTTAATATATAAAAAAAAAAAAACAACATATCACATAAAATTAATTCTATATAAATGAAAATTAATAATAATACAGTAAAAATTATATTGATTGATCAATGAAATCACGATCACAGCTGAAGACGCTCACACACGCAATGCAAACGGCTAAGAGAAACGCAGCTAATTCCAAATTGGCAGCAGACGGTGCACAGAAGTCTTTACACGAGAAGGAAGAATTACTCGAGGCAGCTAAGAGACGTCTCGAAGAACTGAACAGCGAATTACGAGTTGCCAAACAAGATTTAATAAATACGAATCGAGCAGCGGCCAAAGCAAACGAGGCTGCACACGAAGCCAAAGCCAATGCAAATCGCAACAAAAGAAAATCCTTGTTACGTGCAAAAACCTCGGTGAATCCTGACCGGAAATATCGACAAACTGGGAAAAAAATAATTAAAAGGAGAAGAAAGAAAAGAAGAAGGAGAAAGTTAACTTGAACGTGAAAATGTTGCGACATTTTTTCTTTTTTTTTTTTTCTAAATCAACTTAGAATAAATTTGTAAAGAGAACGCTTATTTAGTTTTTAATTGCTTAGATCTCTCTGACGACCAGTCCTTTTTTTTCTTTTTTTATATAATGATATTCATAAGATTGATATATATATATATGTGCTGTATATTCTATTAAGAAAACAAAATAAAAGTATATAGATTTATTTTCATTTTACTTACCCCACTGTCTAACGATTTAATCTACGAGGAAACGTTTTGAGACAGGAAAAAGAAATCCACATATTTTTTTAAATAATACTAAGTTTGATAGAAAAATAAATTGTTTCTATGTTAAATTTAATACTTTTCATACAAATTAATTATTTATTATAAATATCATACATTATAAAAAGAAAAATATAAAGACGAAGTTTATTTCTACCATATATATAAAATAACAAGTTTTTCTTTTATTAAATTTATAATATTACAATCGGTCGAAGAGTAATGCATTATACCACTTACATATTATACAGAAATAATGGCTGTTGTTATTGTTGCGTTAATATTATATTAACTTTATAAATAAATTTTTAATATATAGATATAAAATATATAGTTCAATATTATATTTGTTAATTATTTATAGTTCAAGTATTATAAAATATTTATAATAGAACCCATAAAAATTTTAATTTCGAATAATTATAATAAATACATTACAATCACATACTATACACGACACATTGAAATTAGTATAGATACTTAATCATTAGATTATGCAAACATTTATGATTCAACTTCAGATATTTCAGATTAAAACGACTGTGATGTTATCTCACGTAAAATACAAATAAAATTACATTATCTCATTCCAAAGATTTTCTTTGTTGCATATAATATTGTTTTCGTCATGGAGGAACATACTTTAAGAAGATACCATTAAGGAATGAAGATAATCCTTTTGTTAATCGTATATACACGTTAGTAACAAACATTCATTTGAAAAAAAAAATTATTACAATTCATCCTGTTGATTTAAATAATATCATTTTTAGTTATTTTTAAGAACTCGTATGCAACAGAGAAGAATAGAAAGACACGAAAGATAAATCAGGTTAATCAAATTATAATCCAATAAATATCTTTTATGAGATATAAAAAAATAAAATATAAATTTATTTAGAAGGATAGGTTAGACGGGAGTTTAAAAAATGTAAATCAAATCGTCGATATTGCTCAAAAAGCTGCAGTGGATGCCAAAGCCGCGCAGGATGCTCAAAATATTGCAGGTGCACAAGCATCTCGTCAAGTAAGTACCCCATCAACAAAAAAAAACAATAAATTACATAATTTTAAAATATTTTGTATAAATATAAAAAATAAATGACGTCGCATTTTTTTCTTTTTTTTATTCTCTAAAAATAAACATCATAAATTGGTTAGGCAAGAATTACTTTCAATTATTAAATTCGAATAACTATGAAAGTCTTATATCACAAAAAATTATTTCATTTCTTTTTTGATTATTAGTAGTTATAAAAAGACAGATATTTACGTGTTGTGCATCTATCTTCCGAAAGATTCTCACACTTTATTAATGATTTCCACGTTCGCGTCGCGATAAGCTTTTTAAAAGATCTCACATTCATAATCTTTTATCATTGATACGTTCGATTTACGTTACCGCTGACATTTACATTGAAATCGTGAGTCAGGCATAAACGTGCTGTCACGGTCCGCTGATTTTCTACCTTTCTAGAACATTATACAAATGCACATACACATATACATGTATATAGGTACATTTATACATATATATATAAATATGAATATATGTATGTGTGTGATCAAGATTTTTTGACGTGTTAAATTTGGAGTTCGTAGTAAAGGGTTAACGATTCGTTATATAACTAAATAAATTTGGATAAATTAAAAATAAATAGCATGGATAAAATTAGAAATTGAGTTGAGTTTAGTTTCTTCTTATTTTAATGGAAAAGTAAAAACAAATTTTTGTCAAATCTTGTATCCAGTCTTCTTCTAATATAGTTCCAAACTTTCATTTGGTTGATATTTAGTTTTTTACTGATATGATGATTATTAATGTGTTTGTCTTGCTCAGTTTCTTTTCATCATTTTATGTATTTTTCCATCGACCAGATCGAAGTTCATCTTTGACGTCAAAATTTCCAGATTGAAAATACAATTTTATATGGCATGCACTGATGCTATATCATGTTTCATAATCCTCATTAATTTATTTACCAGTATGAGTCAGATTCTTCCCTGTTTTTGTAATAAAATTTAAAAGTGTATAGAATTTATTTTGTATTTTTATGTTATATCTTAGCCGTTCTCTCACTTCGAAAAGTTATTTTTTCTTTAATATTCTCAGATAGTAGTAGTTTAATTTACTTCACAGCACGTGATCACTTTCGTTAGATTGTAACTAAGCACGTGCCTAATATCGTGATCTGATTAATCGTATAGGAACAATTTTCTACATTCTAATATATGCGAAGTACCAATCATTTGATTTTATCATCGTTCCCTTCGAATTTTCAAGAAAAATTGGTCCTATCAGAAAAGAATAACTTTTTTAAATTGTTCATAAAAAAAAATCAAGATAAGAAAATAAATAAATATATATATATATGAAAAATGAAAAATAACACTAAACCTTTTTACGGATTTCGCGATGTTTAGGTGAAAAATCAATTGGCAGGAAAAGCAATACAGGCAGCAAAAGCAGCAGAGGCAGCACTTGCTGCAAAAGAAGCAATGGTAGAACAACTCGAACGAGAGACAAAGGAGGCAGAGACCGTAGTTCAGGAAGAAAGTTCTTCGCTACAACGTAATCAAGAAAATGCGAATATTGCAATACAAGCAGCACGACAAGCTCAAGAACAAGTCAGAATAATAATCTATTCTTTTTAATTTTCTATAAATCTTGCATGTGTCCACATATATGCAACACGTCTAACATATTATATAAATATTTATATATTATATATTTATTTACACAAAGCTAAATAACAAATTCATAATATTTTTAATTTTGTTTAAAACTTGCTACAAATCTCAATACTAAATTATTTCAATACCCACAATTTTTTAAATGCATGAATCTCGAGTTATGGGAAAAAAATATACTCTCATTATATACAAATATTCTAATTTTAAATTTTCTTAATTTTTTAGTAAATAGAACTAATGGTAGATGAACTAAAAACACTAAAAAAAAAAAATGAACAAAAATGTATTTTGTAGGTCAGAACGTTGACGCAAGCAATACAAATAGCAAATCTGAATTTGGGAAATGCACGAACGACAGCCGAAGGTGCTCAGAGAGAATTCGAAGAAAAGCAAGATCTTCTCGAGGCATCGAAACGAAGAGTAGAAGATCTAATAAAACGTTTTGATTCAGCTAAGATCGAATTAGCAAACACAAAGCGAGCTGCTGACAAGGCCACTGAAGCTGCACGTCAGGCCAAGGTCAACACAGATCGCAACAGGCGTAGAAAAAACTTTTACCAAGATTGAATTGGAGTAAAGTCGGAGGTGTCTCTTTTTCTCCTTCCTTCTTTTTTCATCTTTTGTAAATAAACGTGAATGCAATGTTGTTTCTTTTTTTTCTGTTTCTTTTTTTTATTAAATAATAATTTCATTTATTCACAATCTTTACAAGAAATTAAACAAAGATGACAATTGTTTTGTTTTTTATTTAGATATGAAATGATTAAGATTTAATTACTCCTTTAATACTTACAAAAATTATTATGTGTTATTATTTATAATAATGTTATTTAAATTATGATCGAATAATATTGTATATTAAACTCATTAAATAGTAAGCATTCTAAAAAAAATTAAGTATTTCGTTCTTATTCTAAAGTAACTGTATATACGTTCAAAATWTATCCAATATGAATATAGTTCTTAGTCAAATTTTACATTAATACAAAAATTGTACCTCATATGTCTTATAACCATGAAAATAGCAATATAATACTCAAATCAAATGTTAAACTTAATACTATTATTGACCTCCATACATAAGTTCTCCCAATGGTCTAATAATCAATTCGGTAATATGAACGCGTTGGGGAGTTCCMATTATATAAATAACTGCATCTGCTATATCACTAGATTCCAAAATGGGTACTTGCCCGCTCAYATTTGATATGTCGATATCATTGGCTTCACTAATATCCGTAGCTACAAATCCTGGACTGATACTCTGTAATATTAAAAAGCGTTGAGAATAAATGATTTCTTTAAATTTTTCTGTTTAAATCTTCATTTGTTTCGTAATAATAAAATTAAAAAATTTATTAGTCCGCAGTATGTAAATAAAATACTTTATATTATATAATTATATTAATATTATAAACTAATAAAAGGTAGAAAAGTGTTATGTTCCGTTGTAGAACGAATAGGAATTTCTAAATGTTGCTGAAAATTATTACGATCGTATCTAGAGCTACAATCCACACTTTAAAAAGACCTGGAGTAATATAAACTAGGTATTCTATTTTATATTACTACTGTAATATTATCAGCTAATAAAATATAATATAATGTTATATCATATGCACACAATTTAAAATCAATTCTTTTAGAAATTAAACTAAATTAATTTAAAAATGGATTAATTTATTATAATTTTACATATTAAACTTGGGCATATATTTACCGTCACTCGAATTTTACTACCATGCAATTCCTTTGCAGTGGTTTCAGTAGCAGCACGTAAAGCAAATTTGGTGGCTGAATACATATTTAAAGACATACCCGGAAAAGAAACTACGTTGTGACCTGCCACACTGAAATAAAAAAGTATATTAGAATGATAAAATCAATTACTTTTTATCAGTAAACAATCGATAATAACAATAACACRAAGAACAGAAAAATGATAAAGATAAACTATCAAACCTGTTGATATTAATAATGCAAGCTTCTACGTTAGCATCCAACATCATTCTAGCGGCACGTTTCGTACAATCGATTGCTCCTAACACATTGACAYCAAATAATTTGTTCCAATCGGATCTGGACGAATCTGAAGGATATATTTTAAAAAATTATTTCATTTAAATATAATATTTAAAAAAAAAAAATTAAATTCGTACCCATAAATTTCTTATTTGATGAAACTCCAGCATTGTTCACCAGAATATGAACTACTCCAAAATTTTTCTTGACCCATTCGAAGGCTTGCTCGATACTTTCAGGATTGGAGATGTCACACTCGCATGCATAAAACTTTCCTTTACCTTTTCCATGAACATCCTGCATCTCGTTCTAATAAAAATGATTTTATTTTAATAATAGAAATTGCAGTCACATAAAACGTTGAACATAATTCTTATCGAAATCATTAGGTATGGAGACTGTTTACGAAATAATTGTCACACGTGTGCCTAAAAATTTTGTATTCTTGTTAAAGTTTCTGTGATGCCAACACTTATATATTAAGTATTAGGAATATATGTATTTTATTAACAATAAAACAATACAATTCTTTATAATGTTATATATATAATAAATTTTAATCTCTTACAATTACACTCACCCTAATAACACAGGGTCGTCTATTTTTTATAATAAAAGCAAGTTTAAAAATGATAAAAAGAAAAAAATGTAATAAAATTCAAACAATCACCTGCATTTTATTTTTCCTTCGTGCAAATCCAATGACAACGACGTCATGTTGTACGAGAGCTTTTGCTATTCCTAATCCAATTCCACTGGATGCACCAGTAACTATAGCTACTTTACCAGACCAGCGTTCCATTTTATGTAATTCTCAATCTCGTTGAACAGTGAGATAATAATGAATACAGAAAGAATAGAACGTGTTATCCCGTTGAAATTACGTCCCCTACTGATCGCAGCGATCTTCTCGCTCCTTAATAAAACATGTTACCTTGAATTATCTCTGCTACATTAAAAAACATAGAATGAACARTCAAGATGACATTGCACATAGTTAAAGACGTTACATAACAGAAAAATAACATTCCTTCTATTCGTACTTGTTTTCCGTATGTATATTTTGTGAATATATCATTGCGATAAAATAATATCACTTGAAATTGATCACACACTATTGGTGTTTTTTTCTCCTTGAAAATGCATTTTTGTGTTACATGTAAATATATATACCTATTGATGTTTATTAGAGAAACTATTTTTTATTTTATTATTTTTTATTTATTAAAAATCTATTTTTAAAGAATATTAAAGAATTAAAAARCAARCGGTCTTTTACTACGTATCGTACGAGTACGGTTTCATATTATTTTTTTCCAGTATTGCTAGCTTTGAAAATTATCAAGTTACTAATTAGATCATTTCTCAATGCTATTTTGTACTTTATTTTTCAAAAAAAGATCCTGATCGAATGTTTTTAACTATGTACAATGTTTCTATGATTGTTCAATCTATGTTTTTCATTTCTAGCAGAGATAATTCATGGTGACACGTTTGATTACGCAGCAGGTCGAACTTCGCTGTCCACCGCGCCTTTTTCTTTGCTATCAATGACAGATGATATCTCCCCGATTGGTCATATCGCGACCTAATTTGAACACAGAAGATCTTCCCGACTTATTACTTAAGTTTTAATATGATTAGAATTTTGTGAATTATATAGTATTGTGAATTATATAACAGAAATAATAATAACTTTGAATTCTTTGTATTTTTACTTTCTATGCATATTTTGGTAATATCATGCCATCCCGATAAATAATATTTGCAGTTGATTAAACAACTACACAACTTACACAATTACATATTAAATGCAGTTGCATTTGTAGTTGCAGTTGTATTTGCAGTTGCAGTTGCATTTGCAATTGCAGTTACAGTTGCAATTACAGTTGCTGTTGCATTTGCAGTTGCATTTGCAGTTGCAGTTGCAGTTAAAAAAAAATAAATTTTTAGGAGACAACAAATCTGTAATTAAAAATTTTCTAAAATACGTAATTTAATAGGAAAAATTTTTAAATTATTAATTTCGTCTTAAAAAGAATACGTATTCATTTTGATATACAAATAAATTTTTGTGAGACAAAAAATGTGTATCAATTAATTATGGTAAAGATTATTATTAAATTATTAATAACTAATTAAATAATTAATTAATAAAAGTTGAGGAGCCGGACAAACAAAAAGTGAGCAATTGATTGAAAAGAAAAAACAATAGAAACCTTTATTGCTTTGCTTAGAAATGAGAAAAAACGTTTTGTATTTTCAATTATTAATAACTAATTAAATAATTAATTAATAAAGTGTGCAATTATAGATTTTGAATGTGCAATTAGTGTTCAAGTAGAGTACTTATTTTTTTTTTCTACTGTTGAGATTTTATGCCAACTTTTCTACGGTTTATTATCTCTCATTTCGAGGTTGCTCGCTAATTTGACTAGACTACGAGATAACGCCATGATGACTAACAAGGCGCCATATATRGATGCTACTGTTACTTTATAAAATTCGTTAATTTATGAAATAAATATACATAWCAACTTGGTGAAGTATGAAAAAAGCAGAAATGCTTCAACTAATTAACATAAGAATTCACATGAGCCAATTAGTTAAAGTATGAAATTGAAATTTGATTTGCAGATTGGATCCGATAGAATATCACTACTAACAGAACATTACTATATTAATAATATTTTTTTATGCTTCTCCTAAAACGATAAGTTATTTCGTGTAATACCCAGGGTTTTCACGATTTAATTGAATTATACCATAATATATATAAGGCAATAAGAGTAAAGAGGTTTTAGGGGTTATATCGAGCGTACAAGTGATGTTACGCGAAATAATATTCGTTAAAATAATTTTTATAATAAATTTTATTTCTTGTTTTTTAGTGTTTATTAAATCCCCTCGTACTTGTTTACTACACCTATATATACTTAGTCTTGACAAAATTGACTTATAGTTTCCCTAGTACATGAGAGGTAGTGCTGTGGTTACGTTGCCACACTTGTTTCACGCGCTGTTTCTATCGTCGTTACAATAAGAATCAGTGACCCAACCCTTGTAATACCAATCCATCAAAATAACCTTATTAAAATTATCAATATATTTCACTTATTCATTTAGTAATTCATAAAGATAAAAGGGACATCTAAAAATTTATTGTTAATGAGATTTAATTGGATTTAATTAACATATTTTATATGTTGTTTGTACTCCTTTGTCAAGTGTCAAAGAATATAATTTTGATTTATGTTAAAATGAGAAGTTAAATATTAAAATGTGGTCTTTTTTTGCGAGAGATCCTACAAAGGATTTTCCATATGAGATTGGAGAACCTGTTCCAGGTTTAGAAGATAAAAGTATTTGGACTTTACACAAAGCTAAAAGAAAGGTAATAGATAAAGATGTAACCTATTATGATAATATTATAAATATTAGATAAATAAATTCCTTAAATTCATTGTAAGGGTTCTACTGTGGGAGAAGATTTATCTGTGTTCGTATTTGAAGTCAAAAATGGTGGAGAACATTTCTTGGATATTGCACGCACAGCTGTCAAAAGACTTAAAACACTCAGACATCCAAGTATACTTACATATATTGATAGTCTCGAGGTATTAACATACTGAAATATTTGTGCAAAATTTATTAAAGTATTCGTACAATGTTTTTCCATATTTCTACTATATAAATACTTAAGTCCTTTGTTTTATATAACAATTAAAGTATTATAATATTTTTTTACTTTAGACAGATAAAATGGTTTATTTAGTAACTGAAAGAGTAGAACCATTGCGGAATCGTCTTTCACGCAAATTAGATTCTGAGGATGTCATCAAATTAGATTTGTACTTTTCTTGGGGAATATTTCAAATTACAGTGTGTATACAATTTTCCTTTTTTTATATTGTTTATAAGATTTTAATTTTTATACCTTCCAATTATAGCAAATTTATATCGATTTATTTTAATGATAGAGAGCATTGAATTTCTTAAATAACGATGGTAATTTACGACACAACAATATCAATTTATGGGCTGTATTTGTAAATGAAGAAAGTGGTGAATGGAAACTTGGAGGAGTTGAATGCATGACTGCTGTGGATACAGTATATGCAAAATTACCTCCAAATTTTGAAGTATATCAACCACTGGAAATAAAAGAAAATACAAAGCCAGTTACTAAATGGTAAAAATGAAAACAATTGTATAATATTAAAAAAAAATGTAGATATTTAGATTTTAATGTAAGTGATGAATAATTATACACTCATATGTTTTATAATGTTTAAATATTAATAGAAAATTAATTGAAAACATTAATTACATATACTAATCTTTGGAAATGTTAAAGTTAAATTTCATCTTTTTAGTGATAAAATTTAATAAATAGTTAACTTTATATTTTCATATAATTCACAAATTTTTTATATTTTTTTCTTTGGATCAATTTGCAAATAATATTAAACGAATATTTAGATTCATACATTTTACAATGTCAGTTCTTTCTATATCTAAACATTTAGGTTTAATGTTAACACTATGAAACTCATGAATGAATAAAAAATAGCTCAGTTGACATGTGGGGACTTGGCTGCCTGATCTGGGAAACATTTAATGGTCCACTTAGTACCTGTACTCAGCTTAAAAATATTAGTAAAGTACGTATGTTTTTTCTTACTGTAATATATTAAGCAGAATTCAAAAATATATGTTTTTTGTTTCATAAGATACCAAAACAGTTAACAGTAGTATATCAGGAACTAACAGGCGACAATGCAGAAGGAAGACCTAATCCTGCAGATGTGATAGCACGCTGTCGTAGCAATGGGGGATTTTTCAGAAACAATCTTGTTGATGCAGTTTTATTTTTAGAAGAAATTCAAATGAAAGAGAAAGGAGAAAAGGGACGTTTTTTTTCACAACTTGCTGGCCAATTAGATTCATTTCCAAAAGGTGTTGGAAGATTTAAGATTTTACCTCAATTATTAGCTGCTTTTGAGTTTGGAGATGCTGGGAGTGCGGTATTACCTCCTTTATTGCAGTTAGGTAGTCAGTTACCTGATGCTGAATATCAACGTCGTGTTGTACCTTGTGTTGTGAAATTATTTGCATCTAATGTTCGAGCAACTAGACTACGATTATTGCAACAATTAGATAGATATATAGATCATCTTCAACCAGCAACTGTAAATGAAGCAATTTTCCCACAGGTAAAAACTTATAATATTTGTATTAATTATCAAAATTAAATACATCTTTTTTATGATAGGTAGCACGAGGCTTTTTAGATATGAATCCAGCAATTAGAGAACAAACTATAAAATCGGTTGTGCATTTAGCTCCTAAATTGGATTATAACAATCTTAATGTTGAAACATTAAGGTATTTTGCAAAACTTCAATCGAAGGATGAAGTAGGTGGTATTCGTACAAATACAACTGTTTGTCTTGGAAAAATTGCTCAACATCTTCACCCACAGATAAGACAGAAGGTAAAATGTTTACATATATCAAACAGAAAGAACATATAGTCAATCTAATACTTAAATCATTTCATTTAAATAGGTTTTAATAGGTGCATTTATAAGGGGTACACGTGATTCATTTCCGCCTGCTAGAACTGCAAGTATTCTAGCTTTAGCAGCAACACAACAATATTTCCTATTACAAGAAGTAGCAAATCGAATTTTACCTGCTTTATGTCCGCTTACTACAGATGCTGATAAAGAAGTAAGAGATAATGCATTTCGAACTATACGTGGATTCTTATCTAAACTCGAAAGAGTTTCAGAAGATCCAGGACTTCGCGAATCAATGGGTAGATGATATATTTTAAATACAATTTTCTCTTAACATCAAATTTTGTTATACAAATGTATCTATTTTGTATTACTATAGAGGCTGATGTGAATACCGCTACACCTAGTTTGAGTAATGCTGCAGCAACATGGGCAGGATGGGCTGTAGCTGCAGTAACTGCAAAATTTTATCGTAGTCAATCAGATACACCAAAATCATCAAATTCTCATAATACATCTAGAATTTTATTAAATAAGCCCGCTTCTCTAGGTTTGGTTTTAATTATATATATTCTTATGATATAATTCCTAAATTATAAATCTAATATTCTGAATTCTATAAAATTGCAGAGCAAGCCAGCAGTTCACAAAGTAGTGCAAGTACAACTGCTACAACAAGTAGTGCAACAAGTATGACATCTCTTGATCATGATCATGAACATGATATTCCTAACGTTACAAATACAAACTCTGACTGTGATTGGGACTGTTGGGATGCTGATAATTGGGGGGACATGGAGCAACAGCCTTCAACATCTGCTGCATCTAATTCAGCTGCTAATATTTCCATATCTTCTCATTCTCCCAAAACACATGATCAGTGGACAAGTCTTGAAGAAGAACCAGTTCGTATAGCATTATACTTATAGATGATTAATAAAGTATAAATAGTTAATTAATTGCTATTAATGAGTTTACATATGAATGTTATTATTTTTAGGAAGAGGAAGCAGTTCAAGAAATGGAGGATAAAAATGAAGGAGTTGAAGTAGGTTGGGAAGATTCCGAATTTCAACCGCTTGAAGATGTACAACCTTTAGAACAGATAGGTAAAACTCAATGTTTTTCTCTTTAAGATTCTATTCTAGCAATAATTACATTAAAATTTACAGGTGTACTTAGTGGAAACAATAAATTTGAAGAAGCTAAAAGAAAAAGAGAAGAAAGAAAATTAGCTAGACAAAGACAAATGGAAGCTAAAAGAGCCATAAAATTAAGAACTAATACAATTAATAAAAAACTTTAATCAAAATATTAAGCCCCTTTTAGAAAATGATACTTAATTATATCTTAAGTAACTCCAATAATAATACTATATGAAGTTTTATTTAAACTCTAAAAAGTTCAAACAAATTTTTATTTTGTTTATCAAATTACATCTATAACATATATATAAGGTATGTTGTGTGTGCACGCGCGCGCGTGATGTGTTGTATGTATATATATGTTCGTGTATGTATACAACACTTACTGTACTTGCATATCTAGTTAAATCTCTAACTATCTAATTATTTGCAAAATATTCACAAATACTTTGCTTAATAGATAATAGATACATATACAATATTCTCTTTTTGAGTTACATAAAATTTGTGAAAATAAAAAATTAGTCTGATAATCCAATTATTTTTTTTTTTTATTAAATTTCTATATACATATATAAATATATGCAGCTGTTATATGTATATTATGTTTATTAATATTCTTATATCATATAATTCGCTATTACATAATAAATTTAATTTCATAAGTATAATATAATAATAGAATTACAATTACAATTTATGATTTTTAATTTTTTTGATTGTAACAGTTTAATGCTTATGTGATAAATGCGATAATTACCAAAAAATTAATATTTTTACATTTTATTAAATAAACCAATAATTTGTGAACCTTTGTTCACAAGTGAGATTGTTCTGCTGTATTTTCATTTGAGAATCTTATATTAAGACTATTTGCATTATTAGGTTCTCTCTTAAAACCTAAACTTTCATAGAATGGTATGAGATTATCTCGACAATCCAAAGATATTTTATAACAATGTAAATAACGAGCTAATTGCAAAATAACATTAACAAGTAATTTACCCAAATGTTTACCTCTATAATTATTATTCACAACCACATCTTCCAAACGTCCACGCTACAAGAAATATTTCATGTACATACAAATTCATTGTGATATTGTATATATATAATACAATACCTTTACATATCAATAAAAAATGTGATACTTACCAATGCACAGTTATGAATAAATTTTTGCTCTGATATCAAAGTTGCACTTCCAATTACCATAGTATTATTTACATCTTCTATAACAATGATATAATAAATCCCTGTATTTTTCATACTTTGAAACCTATCTACAACAAATTTATATATTACAGGTAATGTGTGTGTGTGTGTGATTTATTGTAGAAAATATTTCTTAAAAATTATTTTTTATTAATATTGCTTACTTAGAAATTGTTCTTTATTTACTTTTCCTACTTCTGTTAATTGTGCCAAAAGTTCTAAAAATCCTATAAATTTTATGAGTTAAAAAAGAAACTTCACATATATATATTTATACTTAAAAAATGAAAAATCTTCTATATACAAAACTATCATACCTTTATCATAATCAGTAGATCTAAGAGGTCTCATCAGTAAACCTTCAATATGCGGTAGTGTTAATCGTTCCAATATATTTTTATTAAACAATTCAATTTCTCCTTCTGTATGATGAATATCCTAAACCATATTTACAAATACTAATGAAATAGATTGTCATTAAAATACAAAAAATGTTGCTGTTTGTATTGTCGTAATAATCACAAAAATAAAATATCTTTAATTTATTCAATTTTGAAAAGTAACATTTAATAAGATATGCAATTGTTATATAAAAATAAAATATAAGATGATTTGTATTTAAAAAGAAAACTAAGTATAACCTGTTGTAAATTCATTTTAATTCGCAATTTAATTGATTCAGACAAGAACGTGTTGTAACCTATTTTAATCTGTTAAAAAAAAACTTCAACTTGTAAAAGTTGTAGGCAATTTTAATCTCACTACGGAATATAATGTCAAAGAAATTCTTTGTCGTGGCATTCCAATAACGACACTCTCACTCAATTGCCCGCGGCTATCTCTATTTTTTTTATCGTATTTTTAAAAAGAATTTTCTCAAGATCTATCCGTTTAAGTTATTATTTTTATCTACTAGAAAGAAGCATAGCAAATAATGCATTATATTATCAATACGTATAATCGTTTGTTGTATTATTTTTATTTTTTTAAACTCATTTAAATTACTTTATTTTATAAGATCAAAAACAAAAATTATTAAGAGGAATACTTTACTCATTTGAATTTTCTTGTACGTATGTTTACATATCCTTACTTATCTTAATCTTACTTTATTCTGTGATAGTATCATTGATAATTGCAAATTTTTAATTTTATGTATATTTTTAGATTCGCATGTATATAGCTAATATAAATAATCATTAGAAAAGTAATATTACATTGTAATATGAAGTAATAATATTGCTTATGTACTCTAAGATGAATTTTACGAGATGACTATAAACTAATAATATTTCAATAATGCATTATATCATATTTTAAGATTCAACAATTATGTTGAAATAATTGAAACCATGAAATACGTATTACGCATTGAATATATTATCAGAATCTAGCTACATGTTTTATACTTATTTTTTGTAGGATAGAATATTTGAAAAATAATGAAAAGTTATGGATATTATGTAAGACATGTATTTAAATAATTGCATAAAAATAGAAAACAATGCAATGGCATTTACCATTAAAGATTATTATTTAATTATCAAAATTTGTTAAATATATTATTTAATTTGTTGTGTTCTCATAAAACAATAATTTTTTATTGGAATTACGAAATTGTTATTCGTCACTTTCATAGCCAATGATATTATAATTTTTATTGCCACTAGAGAGCGCTATGTGTATAGCATTTGTATATAAGCTTCGTGCCTACATAGATAGAAAGCTGACCATTTGCTGAAGATGCTGCTTGGTGTCTCTTCCAATCAACGACGCGAACTCGAACAAAAGTCACGCCTTTCACGGAACGCAATAACCGCCACTGCCAATAAGAGTAAAACTACGTTTATTGGATAATTAAACGTCACACATTGTAGTAGCATTGTAAACTAATACGGCTCAGTCGCCGAAATTAATCAATGTGGAAAGTCTGTATAGTTTTCTATTTCACGACTTAGTTTTTCATGGTTCAATCTCGTAGTTCGTGAATGACTTTTAGTCAATTGTACAGGACCAAGAAATTATATAATGTAAAATTGTCTTTATTAATAATATTTTAATGTTTAAATATTAAGTGTTTATATATATGTATATATATATAAATATATAAAAACAGAATGAAAAGACTATAATATATATATTATAGGCAATATTTTTTAATTTTTTCTATACAAATTATATTTATAATAATTAGTTGATTTATATGAGTTAATTTAATAAAGTGTAATTTCTTATTATTATTCAATATATTTTTGATGTATTTGAATAAGCAAGAATAATTTGTTTGTGTTTTCAAGAATCTTTATTATTTTTAATAAAATTTCGTATATTATATATTTAATATAAAATAATGTTCTTTTTCAGTAAAATATGGCTGAAGAAAAATCTAAAGGTCGTCCGATGAGATTTCCATATACATTTGCCGCTCAAGTAGCTCAATTTCCATATCGACATTATTTGAAACATAGTTGGTTAATGAGATACTGGTTAATTGCTATTGTTGTCGCTTCACCATTATTTATGAAATTACAACAATTATGTATGTTATTATTTGTCATTTGACATATAGTTAAAAGAATGTTACATTTAATTATTTTAATTTGATAAAAATATTAAAATTTCAGCCTACTCAGAAGAAAATGTTAAAATATGGGCTGAAAAGAGAAAGAAGGAATTTGAAGGGCATGGTCATTAAGAAAAACTTCAATTAGTATACAAAATGTTGTAACATAAAATACATAAGTAAAAATGAATAAATATGTACTCATATGATCCGTACATGATCTTTTATTTATACAAAAAATTGAACATTTGATTGATTTTGAAAATGTTTATTACCAAATTAATTGTATAAAACATACACAGTTACAAAGGACTATCTCAATAACCGCTGTACAGTATTGTAATGAATAATAATTTGTACCATATATTTGCGTAGGCCCAGCCTAAAGATTTTAATTCTTTGTAAATTAGTTGAGTTTCAACAAAAGAAAAAAAGAAAGAAAAAATACGTGCTATTACATTAATTTCTGAAAATTTAGTAAAAAGAAACCACACATGTACCGCATAATATAATGTATTCTGAATTAGCAGGATCTACTTGTTCAGATGTGTCAATTTGTAGATAGTAATTATTATTATATTATTTAAGCATTCGATTGAATATTTTATAAATACTTAAACGTTGCATTTTTAAATAAGCAAACTCAATCTTTCAGAGTGAAACATAAAACATGCGTTGTTTTTATCTCTTCTTGAAAACTTCGAAATTTTCTTCTCTTTCAATGCCATTTTCATTGGTATCGCTCCTGTTTAATTTTGGCTTTTTAGCCATTAACTGTCCTGTGTCATCTTCAAAATTCAATCCTATTTCCTTGCATCGTTTCTCAAAATATTTCAATAATCTTGAACCTGCCCTGTAAACGTAACTATTTTTAAAAGGACGTAGTATTACTTTAATTAAATACTAACTCATGTTCGGAGGCCAAAGATTCTTCCTTCTTATTTAACACACAGTTGCATTCGATCTAATTTACTAATACTTATATATATATATTAAAATACACATACACACATATATAAATTATTACCTTCATATACCATTACCATTTCACATTCATAACTTAAATTTTTAAATCTATCTAAGTAATGTACATACTCTTTTTACCTTACACAATAATATAAATATATATCATTTAACACAGTACGTACAAATAAGATGTCTGTATTTACATATATGTTAAATATACTTATAAATTTTATATTTAAATTGCTTAACATAGAAAATAAAAAATATTACAATAATAATATATGAAAACTTTAAATTAATAATAATAATTACAATATGCTTAAGAATATATATACATATGTTCATATTAACAAATAAATTTAAATATAATCATAGAAATAAAAGTTCCTACCTACTCTCACAATCTCTGGCATCCGAACTATTTAAAATTTTTTATTTCGTTTTTAAATTTTACTTACTTATAAACTGAACTATGTTCCTGATTATATGCTTGACAGTTCTCAAAGACTAAGTGACAGTCACCAAAAAATTGTTGTACGTTTTCATACACTCCATTAGCAAGTTTATATTTTATTGTACCAAAATCCATAGGATTGGATATAATGTCATGATAATCTGGAACTTCATCTTTAGTAACAGGAGAAAGAAAGGGCCACGAATCTCTATGGTGTCTGATATCTAATAATAAATCTTGTAACTTTGTCATATATCCTTTAATTGTTTTATCTTCTTGGTTGTTTTCTGCAGCTCTTTTTGTTGCTCTACGAGTTTGTCTTGGTTCTGTATCATCTGAATTACTATCTGTAAGAAAATATAGATATGTTTATTTATTAAAACATGTTAAAATTATAATAATACTTAAAATCAGTTTTATATATTATTCATATCGTATATATGAAACAGTAAAATAAAACTCTGTAATAATTTATTGTTAAATATTATCACAACAAATAGTAGTGCTATAAAAATTAATAGTTTACAAAAAGCAATTATTTTATTCGTAAATAAATGATTTTTCTATGTAGAATTTAGCACGAATAAATAATATTTTATCATACAATTATTATAAATGTACACATATTTTATGAACAAATATTTTATATAAGTAGAAAACCACAATTACTGCATAATAAAATGCTAAAAATAACACACACTCTATGGAAAATTAATAAAGCAATTACATAACATGCAATTAAAATAATATTATTTAATGAAAAAAAAATAATTACGTAATCATACAAATTTACCTTTTTCAATGCAGTTTTAAAACATGCAATGAAGCATACATGTATAAGATGTCCCATTTAAAATCGAACAACTAAATATTTCTTTTGGATTTAATGATATGAAAAATTTTACAAGACAAAGTTACATCGTTCAAAAACAAGAATTCAATAATAAAGACAATTTTTTTAAATTTATTGTTTCGAAATATCAACGTTTAATGTTTTATGATTGAAATAATATTAAACGAAAAATCACATTTGAATAGGAACCATATTACATCAAGTCATTTCAAATGAATATATTATTACATATTTATTTATTTCATGTTTAATTTATTATAATGTCCTCTGATGAAACAATGAATGCAACAGTTATTTTCAAAATAGGTCATTTGGGTTGAAAAAGGCAAATTTAAGTTTTATATCTTTTTCATTCAGAAGTGATTACTGATTGATTACTAATTACTGATGAATAAAATATTCATCATATATTTTTGTTATATTGCTCAATCCAAGGGAAATATTTAAATATTCAATTTAAAATTGGATACTTTGTGTCAGGGTTGCGTATCATATATAACGATTATGTATTACAATTAATAAAAAATGCTACGAAATGCCACTACTTATCTGTAAAAGTATTTTATGAGCATCTTTAGAAAAAATTAGACATTTATAGAAAAGGGATATAATACAGACCATCCCAGTCTGTAGATTCTGTAGTGAGGAGGTTCTTGGCAAAGCCATGGATACGAGAGCGTGCTGCTGCTGCGCACAACCTCTCCTTGTCTCTTTCCCTTTCACGCCCCCTCACTAAGAACATAGTAAAAACTAAGAAATCTTTAAACACTGTTAAGATTATAACAATAATGCATTCATGTATTTTTTTTCATCAGATTCTGATTGCTTCTAATGTTCTAAAATTTATAGTAAAATGGCAATCAGTGCATAACTTATTTTTTAACTTCTTACCATGTGTCAGCAAGGCTAAACAACTTATTATTTGCTGTAATGTTGTTTAAAAAAATTCTTACCAAATTTAGAAATAGGTTTTCTTCTTTCTTTGCAATTTACACAAGACCACCTGCTTCTTGGCATTCTCAACAAAGGAGGCTCAATGCATTCTAAATGAAAATGATTTGAACAAATATCACACCTGATTAGTTTCCCACCACTTTTACATGAAGAACATACATCAATTGACTTGTCCCTGCGAAATAATTGAATAATCATTTCTAATTGCACAGTCTTATTTTTATATTTTAATAAGTTTACTTACACATCTTCATCGCTTCCTTCTTCCATTTCATCTTTTTGATTTTTATTTTGATCTTCTTCCTCTTCGCTTTCTGGAATACGTTTGGCACGATTATGTCGAGTTTCTTTGGTTAAAATTAAATCTTCGTCAATTTCATCCTCAAATTTTCTTCGTTTTTTAACTTTTTCTTTTGGTTTTTTTTCTGGTGGTTTACAAGTAGAACAAAACCAATCCCCTTCAGGTACAGCCTAAAAAGTACACATAATTTGTTTATACATATATAATGATATCACTAAGATAATAAAAAATAATAAGAACACAAATAGGAAACTTACAGTTAGTTTTGGTTTTAAACAATAAAGATGATGGCCTTTATTACATCCATCACACAGTAGCATATTTTCTGCATCTCTTCGTCTTCGACATACTCGACACTGTGCATTAAATGCACTCTTACCCCATGCAATACTATTTTCTAAAGTATTTAAGTGCACAAATAATTGAGACCAGCTTGTCGAAGCCATAAGAGAATGTTCCCATTTTTCTCGAGCGTCTTCACAAGACCACTTTTTATCTTTTTCATCTGTACCTAAAGGTTTTTTTAAGTATCGTTGCTCTATAGCATGAGATAGTTGTAAAATAGCACAAGCCATTTGTTTAATGTTAGTTTGTTGTTTTTGATCTGGAGAAATTTCATTTTTATTTTGAGGACCAAGATATTTTCCCGGATCTTTGTAACTTTTTGTGTTAATATTACCAATTTCTGAATCTGGAGTACCAGGTCTACTTTGTTTGGATTCATTTTTTACTTTATCCAATATAGTATTAGGAACAACATCTACATCAATTTCATTAATACCATAGACTAATTTTTCACACTGTTTATCGTAGCTCTCATTATTTATTGCTTTTCTCCAAGTATCTCGATTAACAACTTTTAAACTTCCCAAACAACCACCTTTAATTTTGTCCTCAAAATCCAAAATAAAATCTCTTAATGTCAATTCCATTACATTATCAACTGACAAATCAGTTGGAAAATTTAGGTTAGCATTTTCATATTTATTTTTCTTCACTGTCTTATTGATCTGCTCTTTTACAGGTTCTGAAAACTGATAGAAAGAACACACGTATATATCATGTTATTTCATATTGCTATAATCAAGATACTTACAATTTCAGGGTTTAATTTGTGTCTAGGGCATTCTTCAATTACAGATATTAAACTGGACATTTCATGCTCTAAATTATTACGTAATTCACTTTCTCTGATTCCTCTTTTACTAAGAGCATTTATTAAAATCTGTATGTCTTCTATTTTTCCGTAAAAACTCCATTTAGGTCCAGATCTCTTCCGATGTATAGGACAATTTTTATCTCCTGTACATGCCATTAAATTATGCCTAATATCTGTTATCTCTTGTTTCAAATCTTTTTTAGAAGATTTTACACCATTTTTCTCCGAAAAAGAAACTTTTTTTTGAGATTTTCTAGCTTTTTTAAAACTATTTTCCTTGTCACTAAATTCATCTTCAAATTTATTCCTTAAATATGCATATGTTGCTTCTCTATCTTTTAATTCTGGGTTATATGGAGTTCCTTCAGGAAGACAATTTCCTGGCCACCATTCATCATTTTCCACAAATAAGCCTATATTTAAAAGGACAATATAGTTCGTAACAAATAGCATATTATTAAAAGAAATAGTATAAAACTTATTAATTTATAATTACATATCATAAATATTGTTATAATTTAAAATAACCTGGTATTGATAAGAATCTCCAATATCTCCTATGAGCTCTATCTGCACCTAAATATACCATCATTTTGTCGTCTTTAGATGCTTGCTGTAATTCTTTTAATTTATATTCATATTCTTCTTTTTTTTTCTCTTCCTCACAATTACCACGTGTAATTTTTTTCGGTTTCTGTTCTTCTTCGTCTAATTTCCCTTCTTTATCTTTTAATTTTTCTTTTTCTTCCTTTCCTTTTTTTTGTTCAGCAATTATAAATGATTTCAATTCTTTTTTTGCCTGTTGAAGTTTTTCATATCTTTCTTCAATAAAATCACGTATAGAAGCAAATGTAAGTAATTGATTTATGAGACATGTTACTAGTTTTAATTTGTCATCTAAATCAAATTCACAAACATTACGATGTCCTAACAATCTCAAAATATATGTCTGATTTATTCTTAGGAGAAGTGCAGGATCATCAAGATTTGTATATCCACCTAAAAATACATTTTACATTACTATAATGTTATCATAAATATAAGAGAGAAAGAGAAAATCTAATTCGTACCTCGTTGAGAATAACGCCATTTTGAAGCAGCTTCACTTATTCGACCACCGGAACTTAATAAATGCTGTCTTAAAATCTCACTTAATGTTGTATGATCTAATGTGAGCTCTGATAATTTGCACCCATGTTGTGATTGAAACCATTTAGAAGCAATGGTAGCTAATTTAACTGATTTTTCCATAGACGATACTCCTTCGTATATATTAATATCAACTACTAAATCTGATGCATGTGCATGAATTTCATCTTCTTCTGATGCTTGATATTTAAAAATATTAGACAATAGTAACTGTAATAAATCGCTCCAGGGTCCAGAGGCCTCTTTAATTAACATTGATCTTTCTAATAAATCAAGATTAAAGCCACCAGAAAAATATGAAGTAACTTCTAATTCTTCATTGAAAAATTCAAGAAATTCTAAAATAAATACGCAATCACCAAACTTTTCATTAGGTATGCTAGAATTAATTGGGACAGATTCTGGAATAGAATAAAGATCTTCACATTCGAGATCTTCCCTTGGCTTATTCCATTGCCTGACATATGCAGCAAGAGCCGCTAATTTTTGTTTTTCTTCTTTTTTACGTTCGCTTTTCAATACTCTTTCTTCTTGACGTTTTGCTTTTTCTTCAAGGGCTTTAGCTTTTAAGTCTTCTTTAAATTTGCCATTTGTTCTGTTGACAAACTTTAAAGCATTAAGAAAATCTTGAGATATCATATAAGTTTTTATTAAATATAGTAAACAGACCTTACTTTGATTTTCTATATTTTTTCACAATTATTCCAGATTCATTAACTTTTTTTAATGGATCAGGTTTCTCAAATGTTCTGTGCTTGGATACATCTGCAGTAAGGAATTTTTCTATTGATTCTTGTTTATGCTTTGTTACATTTTTGGTCCGCATAGAAAAATCAGGTGCAGGTCCAGTAAATATTGTATCAAAACGTACTTTACTGATACCATATTTTTGTAAGACACTCTCCTAAGAAAAATAACAAATGAAAGTGTCGCAAATCTTATGAAAATACAAATATGATAATAGAACCATTACATTCTGCTAACCTTAACTATCCATATACCATTTTCATTTTGTTCGCAGAGTTGACGAAGAAATATTTTGTTACGTTCTTTGCTATACTGCTGTTTGCGTCTTCTTACTTGTCCAGCTTCTACTATCATAAGTTGTGTAACATCAGAATCCCCACAATCCAGTTGCTCTACTTCATAACGAAATAGCTTGGCTGGTGGATGATATTGATGTTCTTGCAGACTCCTACAATTATAAGAGTTAAATCACACACAATGAAAATATTCAAATATTTATAAAAAAAAATAAAATATTTACCTGCAAATATCTTTAATATAAAGTTTAATTTGTTGCTCTGTTGGTTCAATAACCTGAAGAACATGACAATCACACCATGACTCTTCAGTGAAACTCGCTTCAACCATTTCACCAACAAAATATCGATCTCTTGCAAATTGGTAAACATCTTCTACCATTTCATTAAAAGACGATCTATTTGTTTTACTGGCAAGGTATAATATAGGAATCCGTAACTACGAAAAATAGAATCCTAAGATATAAGAGAAGTATTGCAACAGTATAGTCCAAATAATAAGTGTTACATGCATGAAAATGTCAAAAGTATGCTCAAACATTCCTATTTTCACTGTCGCTATGACTGATTAAATAGAAAAAGAAAATAATATGGTATGGGATAATATTATATATAAATGTATCATACTTCCATTGGAAACTCCTTCAGGCTTTTTTTAGCATTTTCCTCGCATTGTAATGCTTCTTCAAATGTCATACCAGTTCTTCCTGTTATACTGCATGACCATATGAGAGAATTGCATAGAATAATTCTCTCGCAAAATTCACTGTGAGGAAACAAGCATTTTTTGTATCATTTCAAAGCATATGTTCTAAAGTAATTAAATCAACAAAAACAAAATTCTAGATTATTAAAAGGAATGTAAGTATAGTTTTAAATATTTAAATAGATGTTACAAAGTAAATTAATTAAAATAAACGATCAAACAATGTCTTTTTCTTATACTCTAGATTTGATTAACTTACTTGTAATCTTTGAAAATTTCATTAGTAATTTCACAGTGAAAAACCTCATCGTCGTCCTTAAAGTCGGAGGAGACGTGAAGACGTTGAAACGGTTGCTTACGAAGAAGCGGCATATCAAAACTTGATATCAAAATCCGTTGATGTTAACATCCGCTCGTTCGCGGCTTTTAATGCTTAATAATCGATCTTACATAGACAAGAAGTTTACTTTTTATTTTCATACGTTAAAGAAGAAACGAAAAGACAAATAAGATTTAATTGCTTATTTGGTCTTATGTTCTCTTTAAACGATACACGACGGCGCAATGATAATAATTTGACATCAATACCGACCAAATACTTGGATCGTTCCTTAATGTGTTTTCTAACTGATGATGCACGTACGTAGTAAGTGAATGCTAAAACGAATAATAACGCTAAACAGTTGACCGTAGTTTCCTGTTATTCTATTATAATAATATAAATCGACAATATATTCGAATCATTACACACGCCATATCAATTTTAATTCACAGACAGTTTTAGTAATTCTTGACAAAGCGCGTTTTTTTCACGGCGGCTTGTGAAAATGCTTGCATTCACACCTGGGATACACCGTGAAGACCGGAAACTACCCTAAGGGCAAATTGTGCCAACCTAATAAATATCGACTTCTCGAACAACAATTTCATTAATATGATTGTCACTTTTAAATAAAAATTTTGTTATTTCATCTTGAATTCAAAATATTTTAACTTGTCTTTTCTCGTATCATAGCATAAATATTATTTCTTCAAATTTGTATTGTTCTCTTCGAGTAATATCTTGTAATATTAAAATGTTTCTAGTGAATCTATTTGAATACTTATTCGATTTATATAGTTGGTAACGTCTACATTTTGTTTTTTAATCATGTAAAAATCATTTGGCGGGAACACTTTTATAAAACGTTATTGCGCAATAGAATTCTTTTCAATAGCTTTGAATGCACATAAGTAGATTTACGTGAATGCATGTTGTATGTAAAATTCGTTTAATCATTAAACGAACAAAAATTTCTCTTTATTTTAATAATTCTGAGTCTTCTCCAATAATGAAAGAAAAGTTACACTCAACGATTCAAATGACTTTAGAAATTTATTAACAGAAGCAATAATATTTTCTTATTAATTTCACTGTACAGATAAATATATATAAAATGTTTATGCAATGTCTTTAACATACTTTAATTTAGATTTTATACGCTATTATTATTATTTCAATATATTGCGAAATCAATCAGACATAATTGTTATATAGGCTTTTATTCTTACAATTTTGTCAATATTCAAGCGTATTCATAATAAAATTAATTATTAACATAAATAGAAATTATCTTAAATATAATTATTCATATGAATAATTGAATAAAGCAAAATGAAAGAAAAAAAATAAATTTTATAGCTATAGTAATTTTACTCAATATAATATGAAACACAATTTTTATATCGTATTATAAATTGATTATAATAATTGTCACAGATATTACATAATTTGCACAATTGTACTTATTTATTACAAAATATAATCCAATTCATATCTTATATACTGATTCTTTGGGTCATTCATAATCCGTGGATAACCAGCAACAAGAGCATCTTGCCCACCAATGTATAGAGAGTTATATATTTTCCAATATACATCTCGAACTTTTCTAGCAGGATGAAATAAACCCTAAAAGCAAAAAAGAAAATAAAGCAAAGTGATGTATACATATAATAAATAATATTATTATTACTAAATAAAACGAATATCTAAACCACATAAGTTTTAGTATCTACATATGATTAAGGTACCTGTAATGTATATTGCAATATTTTTATTGGACCAAGCGCAACACGTAAACCATCAACTGCATCCATAAATGCTTGTACTAAATGTGGTGAAGTTTCAAAAACATTGGGCCATACATGATTTAATAAATGAATCAATGCGTCTTCGCAGCCAAATCCATAAACACCAAGTGCCATATGTTTAATAGCTGCACAGGCTGTTTGTCTATGTACTAAATCCCTGTTATGTAGTAAAATTAATTTTGAAAATATTATGATATTATTGAAATTGATATCTTGTTACATCAATATATTCTAATAATAATAGAAGAAATAATAAAATAATATTTATGTAATTTATTTACCTATCCATGAGTGCATCTTCTAATAATGGACTAACAGCATAGATATAATCTTTTCCCATTTCTCCAATATATTCAAATAGAAAAGATAAAGATTTTAGTACTCCATTTTGAACATTTAATTCAGGTACTCTGTACTCATTCATCAATGCTGGTAAAACTGTAAATGGACTGCACGTTTCTGCAACTATAGCTATAGCTACAGTCGTGCATACACGATTCTGACGTTCTTGGACTTTTAAATTATTTAAGAGTGTGGCTAAAACATCATGCGGTCTGAAAACATAATTACATTTTTATTTTAAATAATTACGTTATTTTACTTATTTATAATATTATTTGGTTTGATATTTACCCAATAGCCTTTGCTATATAACCAAAAGTATTTACGGTAGCTCGTCTAATTGCTTTTTTATGCGCTTTCAATAGTTCTAAAAGTTCAAAACATATCCTCATCCATTCGCGAGCAGACACATATTCGGGTCCTCTGTCTGCTATTCTACCTACAAGATCGATACAATTTTCTTGTACCTATAAAATAATGAATATAATTATTTTGAAATAACGTAATCTTATTATAAAAGTTGTATAACCTTTTCATGTCTATTTTTTAATATAGGAGTTAATCGTGGTAATAAATCTTTTATAGGTGGAGTCATCTTGGTCATTCCTATCACATTAACAATAGCCTTTAAAGCTCCCAAAATACTGCCCAAAACTTCTGGATATTCTTCACCTAAATATTCATAAAGTACAACACCTAAATGACCCATAAGTTTTTCCTAAAACATTTCAGAATTTATACATAATATTTCAAAATTTGTATGTTATATTGGATTAAAATATTTGTTAAATATCAATTTTACTTCTTGACAGGTTTTCATAACAACTGCAATACGTGAAATTAAATCAGCTGCCTGTTGCCGTACTTTAGCCGATTTATTATTTAATCTCCATAATATAGTACCGCATATTTGAGGTAAATAAGCCTTAACTCTTTTTCCTAATGTATTGACAATAGTACCAAAACCGTTAAGCATTACAACATCCTGCAATGAAAAATAATTATTTATTCATTGAGTCTATAAATTATTTTTAGATTTTAATTATAAATTAATAAAAAATGTATTACAATTATACATATATATAGAAAAATATAGCATACCTCTGTAGTTTGTTCTTGAAATGCATATAGTATACCATCTATAAGTTGTTCTTCCAAACGAGAATCGACATCAGCTGCTCCCAAATTACCCATTATCTTTTCAATGGTTTCCATAACCATTTTTCTATATTGTTCATTTTCATCTTTTAAATCATCTACTACTCTATTAATAATTTCTGATGCACCAACTTTATTTGCTATTTCTACGGTTGTGTCTACAAGCTGTAATGTTCGTGTGATTTATATTTTTTTTTATACAATTATGTAATATGTGTATATATCTTTAATAATATAAAGCGTATAAATTCAAGATATACCTGTCGATAATTCCTACGATCCAATGCCATTCGGTGATTCCAGAAATGCTTAAAAAAGTGTGGAAGTATTTCATCTTTTATATACTGTGCTTCAACACCATCAGTTCCACAACATTGTTTGACAACCTAATTATACATTGCAAATTATATATTATATAAAAAGTAAGATTATTTTTAATGTAAATAATTTAAATGTACAAGCCATATATCTTACTTTCAAGACTATTTTTTTCATTTCTTCATCAGGAGACTGAAATTCTCGAATAAGAATTAACATTACTTCGCGAGTATAGTAATTAGCATATTCAGCGTCCATAAGAGGAATAAGATATCCAATTGCTTTTAAAAATGCAGCTAAACCTTTCCCTCTATGTGTTCGTATACCTTTCCATAATGGTTTTAGAACAGAATCAAAGCTTTCAATACCATATGGTGTTGCTGCTTCAGCTAAAGCTGCTATAGCTAATGCAGTGATAGTACGAACTTTTTGTTGTTCATCCACCAGTCCTACGAATAGATTGATTATAAGTATACAGCTTATATTATTAACCTGACCAATAAATAATGTCGATATTTATAGTCAAAAATTCTGCATAGTGTTATTTATTAAAATATGAAATACTGAAAATATTGATATTATTTATTAGCTAATTTAATATAATATAATTCGATATTTACCATGTTCAATGATTTCGACCAAGCTTTTCAAATGTGGCAATATAGCACATCCCATAAGGATGGCGATTTGCTGTACGATTTTGATACCTGTATGTCTTGCTTGCCAAGATTTTTTACTACGACATACAGCTTTTAAGAATGGTAATAATGAAGGTATTCCTAAAGCAGAAGCAACAACAGCAAATGCTCTAGCAGTTGTGTTTCGAACATATTCATCAATATTATCAATATCAGGTCTCATTGTGGAAATCATAGTTGCTAAACCTGCGGCTTTTGCTAAATTGGAAATAATTTCTCTACCTTCAACGCGTGCATAATAGTCTTCATCAATTAACAAAGGTTCAATAACAACCAAAATCTATGAAAAAATAAAAAATTGTATTTATATATATATTATAATTATTTTAATGAGTAAACAACGTATTTGATCTTAACCAAAATAATATTCTTACCTTGTGCACATATGGTCTAACCAAATCATCTAATTTATAAAGAATACGATCAATAACTTTTACAAGTAAATGTCTTTCTTGATCTTCAAGAGTAGGAGACATTAATAGAGGCAGAATTTGGTTGAATAGCGGTCCGGCTCCAAATTCTCTTGCCTTGTCTGTAATTTGTCTTAAAGCAGCTTTTCTCATTGGTGGTGTACCATTTTTAATTTTTAGAAGTAGTTTCATAATTTTTCTTTCTTTTTGTTCTTCTGGACTGAGAGTTTCTTCATCCACATCAACTAAGAGTTTATCAAAATATTGAGCATCTTCAGGTTTCATAAACGGTAAATTTCCCTTTGGTTGATTGTCTACAAACTTTGCATTCTTATCTTCAGTCTGAATAAAGAATCCTTGGGGTGTCCCAGCAATAGGAGTTGGCGTTGCTGTCAATTTTCTTGCAGGTGTACGTATTGGTATATATCCTATCAAAAATTTAAGACAATTTAAAAATAAATAATTGTATTAGGTTATTCAATGAGTTTTTTCTAAGAAAATAAATGACAAAACCTGTATGGACTAATTGGACAACTTAATATATTCATAAGGTTGTAGTTACTTGTTTACTATCAATGCACAAAATGAATATATATAAGAATACCTGCAGGTGGTTGTAGAACTTTATAACCAGGTGGAAATAAAGCATCCAGTTCATCATCAGAAAGTGGTCTATTTCTCTCATCTATTTCTCTTTCCCAGCGGTAAGCTTGTAGCTGTTCTGGTGTCATAGACATTAAATGTCCTGGTGTTGGAGTTGCTAAACCCATTGCTTTAGGTCCTGTAGGTGTAACTCCACTTGGAGTTAAAACAGTGGCT